AGTTTGAAACCGCAAGGGCCAAGGCCTCCCCCAAAAAAGGGAGGATGCATTCACAGATACACCCCTTAATACCGATATTCCCGAAACCTCTCTTGTTCCCAATCTAGTGCATGGCCTCGGGTGGAGTTGCTCCCCCTTGGCCATCGGGTGGAGGTGCTCCCCCTCGCAACATGGGCCCTGATCTTAAACCCTGGCCAAAGCTTGCACAAACTCCAAATCAAAAGCCTGCAAACAAAAACTGGGTTCCACGCCTGAACTGTTCAAACCCATAACAAAGAATCCTGCATAATGCTGTCAAAAGCACCGAAAGCCAAACCGTGTTTGCAGAGGCTGAAGCCCCGAAAGCCAAGCAGTGTTTGCAGAAGCTGAAGCCCCGAAAGCCAAGCAGTGTTTGCAGAAGCTGAAGCACCGAAAGCCAAGCTGTGTTTGCTGTCGCAGTGGCAGTTGTAGTTTCTCGAGGAACGCTGGTTGTGCTTGGGACTGATTGCTTGAAGGCTTGCACCTGTTGGTCGGTTGTGTGCTTGGCTCTGAAGGCTTGCACCTGTTGGTCGGTTGTGTGCCTGGCTTGATGCATGTGTTGGATGGTGGTTGTGTGCCTGGCTTGATGCATGTGTTGGATGGTGGTTGTGTGCCTGGCTTGATGCATGTGCTGGAGTGTTGGTCGGTCGGTTGGTTGGTTGCGACTGATTGCTTGAAGCGCCGCCCACCGTGAGTTGTAATGGCTGTTGGCGCCTCGCCACGCCGTACGTGTACATGTTTGATTGTGACAGCTAGTCAACAAAGACTCCTGCATAATATGCTGTCAAGAGCACCAAAAGCCAAACCGAGTTTGCAGAAGCTGAAGCCCCGAAAGCCAAGCAGTGTTTGCAGAAACTGAAGCCCCGAAAGCCCAAGCAGTGTTTGCAGAAGCTGAAACACCGAAAGCCCAAGCAGTGTTTGCAGAGCTGAAGCCCCGAAAGCCCAAGCAGTGTTTGCAGAAGCTGAAGCTCCGAAAGCCAAGCAGTGTTTGCAGAAGCTGAAGCACCGAAAGCCCAAGCAGTGTTTGCAGAAGCTGAAGCCCCGAAAGCCCAAGCAGTGTTTGCAGAAGCTGAAGCCCCGAAAGCCCAAGCAGTGTTTGCAGAAGCTGAAGCCCCGAAAGCCCAAGCAGTGTTTGCAGAAGCTGAAGCTCCGAAAGCCAAGCTGTGTTTGCAGAAGCTGAAGCACCGAAAGCCCAAGCAGTGTTTGCAGAAGCTGAAGCCCCGAAAGCCAAAGCAGTGTTTGCAGAAGCTGAAGCCCCGAAAGCCCAAGCAGTGTTTGCAGAAGCTGAAGCACCGAAAGCCCAAGCAGTGTTTGCAGAAGCTGTAGTAGTAGTAGTAGTAGTAGTAGTAGTAGTAGTAGTAGTAGTAGTAGTAGTAGTAGTAGTAGTAGTAGTAGTAGTAGTAGTAGTAGTAGTAAGGTTTTGGCTGCTTTGCGCCACCCGTCCGGAGGCAGAGAACGGCCTTTGGCACCTCGCCACGCCACACAAATTCATTAACACCATGTTCGTACGGCCGTTGGCACCTCGCCACGCCACACAAATTCATTAACACCATGTTCGTACGGCCGTTGGCACCTCGCCACGCCACACAAATTCATTAACACCATGTTCGTACGGCCGTTGGCACCTCGCCACGCCACACAAATTCATTAACACCATGTTCGTACGGCCGTTGGCACCTTCACTAACCGCTGGGATCCCGAACCTTTGGATATATAACCGCTAGGATGTGAATTAACCGCTGGGATTGACCGCTGGGACAATTAACCGCTGGGATTAACCGCTGGGACTAACCGCTGGGACAATTAACCGCTGGAATTAACCGCTGGGATTAACCGCTGGGACAATTAACCGCTGGGATAATCAAATAACCGCTGGGATGTTGAAATAACCGCTGGGATGTTGAAATAACCGCTGGGATGTTTAATTAACCGCTGGGATATCAAATAACCGCTGGGATGTTCGATTAACCGCTGGGAGCCCGGGATGGCCTACACATCGGTTTGTGTTTAGGTCACGTCGGTTATTAACCGATGGGGGGCTGTCCAGGGAGCCGGGGTGTCCTGGGCCGGCGTGCTGGGCGCCACGCCATCGGCCGTGGCTCGCCGCGCTTCATCGGTGGCAGCCGTGCCACCGCCGCCCCCTGCCAGCACTCTGCCGGGAATCTCCGGGGCCACGGCCAGCGGAGCCGCCTGAACATAGCGCTCCACCGCCGTGGAGGACCAGCGGCCAGCAGCTGGATGATCGCCGTCGGCACCCCCTTAGATGCCAGCCAGGCCGCACCGGCTACCCGCGCCGCGTGGCCGGCGAACAGCTGAACTATGTGGCCCTCGTGGTCCACCGTGGTGAGGGCCACGCCAGCCGCCAGCAGAACACGCCGGAAGAGCAGGACAGTCTCGCCCTAGCCGAGGTGGCTCCCGCCGCATCCCGGAACAATGGCCCCCGGCGGTGCCACAGGCCCGCCGCATTCAGCCGGGACACATGTGTCAGTGCCGCGTGCGCCGGGCACATCGGCCGGCACTGGACGCCACATGCACAGCGAAGCTGCCGCGCCGTGAGCTCTCTCTCACCACCCTGCGCCGTCTTGTGCACGGGGGATTCTGAGCAGGACCCAGTCCTCGCCGGCCTCAATGTCCTCCGTGCGGGCCGCCGCGAACTCAATCTCCCGCAGCATAAAGGAGGGCATCCGCCGCGTGGGTGGGGCCCGGGTTTTGGTAGGTCACCGCCACATCGAAACAGTTCACCGAGTCCAGGGAGATCGTTCACGCCGGCAGGGCCCATGCCGCCGTGAAGTCCACCCACGTCCGGATGCTGGACCGGAAGGGTGTCCAGGTCTGCCAGGGACTCCCCCTATTCCTCCGGCAGGGCCGTCCTCTTGCAGGCCGGCCTGCCGTCGCGCCCAACCGGCCCCGAACAGTGCGCCTGGCGTGCGCCGCTGGTGCCTCGCCCTTGAGCCGACCTCCACGAACGCGCCACGACGATTAGGGTCGGGAGGCCGGGCCGGGCGGGCAACAGCCCTGCAGACCGCCGCCGACTGCACTCCACACACTGCGCCGGTCCGACTTTTCGCGCCAGGCTATGATCCGAGGCTCTTGGGCCTCCCGACCTGCACTTACGGCACGCCGGGAAGCAGACACTAATTAAGGCTTCGTGGGCCCGCGGCCGCCGGAGAGGCCCGCGAAGGGATCGCGGCACCGCCGGGACCAAAAATGATACCAGGCGGGCGCGCGCCAGGAAGAGGTAGGACTCGCCGAGGACGAAGTAGCCCGCCGGCGGGGTGGCACTAGAAACGGCCGTCGCACGTGTTGCGGAAGCACCGGCACAGATCACATAAGTGATTGTTGTGCCCCTCCAGATCCTCCGTGCCACCCCGCCGGATCAAAACTGGCCTGAGGCACCTGCCGCCACCGCCGCGACAGACGCCTTCGAAGCCGGGGCATGGCCGGCCGCACCAGCCAACGCACCACACTTCGCCGGCCAGCCGCTCAGGGATGCGACCGCCGCGAAAGTTTGGCGCCATCGAGCGGACAATATAGTCTGCCGCGCCGGGCGCCGTTGGCACAACTGCTGTGGATGCCCCGCCGGCGAGCCGCATCCGGTCCTCGATCCGCTCGAGGGTCTCCACCGAGTCAACAATGGACGCCAGCATCGCCGTCGGCACCGGCACATCCGAAGTGGCGCCTGGCTGATTGATCCGCCGGATGTGGTCCTGCCACTCGACGGAGCAGAGCCTGAAGCGAACGTCAACCAAGCGCCGGAAGAGCTCGTCGTTCTGGCGCCGCTCTGCATCCGTCGCCGTGCTGCCAGGACGCCGCGGCAGCTCCGGGAAGCCTTCCCCCGTGGCCCGATTGACCGTGTAGGTCTCGCCGCGAATCTCCATGCGGACGAAACCTGCCGGGACCGGCGCCGGGGCAGCCGAGCTGGCCGATGCCTGCGGTGCCGGGGCCACCGCCGCGATCTCAGCAGCAATCTGGTTCTGCAACGCCGCCATCTCTGCCAAGTTGGGGGCCGGCGTCTTCGCCACCGGGGCCGGCTTCGCCGGCGGAAATGACGGCTGCTTGGCGGACGCCGCCGCCCATGCCCTGTAGAACTCCGCCGCCGAGGTGAAGTTCAGGTCCGCCGCCTGCCGGGCATCCGCCTCCGAGAGGAAGCCTTCGGAGGCCCAAAGAGCGACCGGCGGCCCCTTAGGCTTGGGCTTGGCCGGGATCGCCGCCACCTGCGGCTGTTGCAGCCCAGCATCTTGACCCGCCGAGGCTGCGCCGGCATTCGAACCAGACGCATCGCCGCCACCCACTCCATCTGCCGGCTGTGCCGCCTTAGGCGGTGCCGGGTTCGTAGTTCCAGCTGCCCGGCTCGCCGGTAACGACGCCTGCAGCATCAAAATCAAGGCCCGCTGGGCGCCTGGCGGAAACTGTTGGAGGAAGGGAGCCAAGTCCTCCCCTTCCTCCAACGCCGCGAGGATCACCGCAAAGGCCGCCTCGATATCCACCGCCGAGTACGACATGGCAAGGCCGGGTGGAGATGCTACAGAACGCCAAGTCACCGAAAAAGCGACGTCGAGCCGGGACAGCTGCCGGCACGACGGGTCGCTCATGTCCATGCGCACACACGTGTGCTACACAACAATACTAGTAATAGTACTGATAATAATAGAAATAATCGTTACTATTCTTATAGTAATCAATACTGCTACTACTGCTCCTGCTGCTGCTGCTGCCGCCGCCGCCGCGGCTGCTAGTGCTAGTGCTAGTGCTGGTGCTAGTGCTAGTGCTACGAACACTATTAACTACTACTACCAATGCGAGTACCACTACGTAAATTACTAAACTCCTCCTCCTCCTCCTCCTCCTCCTCCTCCTCCTCCTGTCCGCCTCCGGCGGCGGCTGCTGCTCCCGCTCCCACCCTGCCCCTGCTCCTGATCCTGATCCCTCGCCCTGCCCTTAGGCCTTTGCTCCCCTACTACTGCAGGCACAGGGCAGGGGGCCTTCTGCCTGGCCTCCTCTGCTGCCCGCGCACGGGCTTGGGCCTCAGTCTCCGCCTTGGCACGAGCCTTTGCGGCCTCCGCCTGCGCCTCGCCCAGCATTTCACAGGGCTGAATTTTCAGGGTTTCAATTGTTTGCTTGCCAGCAGACGGTACCTGCAGGGGTCTCAGTATTTCTGTTGACCATGAGGGGCCTCTTGAAGGGAGAAAGGACGAGGTTCCGTGGACGAGCTGTGAAGTCAGGACTTTTACTCTGACTGCTCGACGAGCTGCTGATTCTTGGACATCTGAACCTCGTTGCATGAATCACTTTTCTGCGAACCCGGAGTTCGAACATAGAGTTCGAGTTTCCCGAACTCCGAACCCGGGGTTCGAATATTGAGTTCCCCAAACCCAGAGTCTACTGAATTCAGAGTTTCAACCCATCACGTTGCAAGCCCCTTTAACAAACCATCAGCCCCTCAAGGGGAAGCGAATCGCAACAAAGCACTCCTCGTACACGTTTTACATCCGATGCATGAAGGAAACCGTACGTCGGAGAAGAGTTCCTATTCGGCAGAAGACTTTGATGACAGGCGGCCTTAGTCCATGTGAAACCTGTGCCTAGATGTCACATGCCGGTCTGGTGAGCTCCTAAGTTTCTGAGAGAAGTCCAGGTAGACTCGCAAGCGTGCCTTCTGTGCCTCTGCCATAGCCTTGGCCTGTGCCTGCGCAGCTTCAGCCTTCGGCTGTTCAGGGCGCAGTTCAGGTGTCTCGGGCTCCGAAAGTCTTCAAACCCTTGGAACGAGGCAGTGCAGACTTGTCTGGGGTCCAGCTTGGGCAGAGCAAGTGCAGACTTGTCTGGAGGCCTGCAGCCTCGCTTGAAGCTGGGCTTTGGCCCTGGCTCGGAAAGGGGTTTGGACTAGGACGAGGGGGGGGGGATGTGTTGCCAGAGCAGATCCCGCAGGAGCAGCACTCTGCTGAAAGAGCCACAAACAGCCACACTTTCTGCTGGGGCAGGGTCCGGGCCTATTGCCCTGCGTGTGTCACTTGAGCACACGCTCAAGGGCAGAGAAGGCAGAATCCCAGCAATGACTGCTCTTGATGGCCTATAGTGGTGCGAGATATATGATGAGAAGGTTGACCAATTGGGCAGGGGATTCTGGCATGCATAAGCTTGGGTTGGGCACATGGCCTGGCTCTGCGGGCATACTAGTTTCCAGTAAGAGGGTCTTGAGCGAGAGCCACTTCTAGCCGTCAGCGTCCTTCGGACCTGAAGCCTAAGAGCAACGTTGCAAAAGCCTCAAGCCAAGGCTGTGTAAGCTACCAAAAACAGCAGCAGGCATCAAAATAGACCGAGCTGACATGACCAGATTTGACGCGTGGCAATTCGAGGCTGGTTGGCAGCGCCTCACCCTGAAGGCGGAATCAGTCACAGCCCAAAACAAACTTGTTTATAACCGCAAACCCGTCCCTTGGAGGCCAAGCGCCTCTCTTCTTGAATAAGGCGCTCCTCTTCCTCGAAAAGGCAGTGAGGTGAATGGCTTCTCCTTTTTGTAGGATATTGCGGCCCTGGAGGGCCCTGGGGGGTTCTGCTCGGCTGCTCCGCTCAGGCAGCCGCGGGCCTTGAGCCTCGCCTGGAGTTCCGCGCGGGCCCGGCGCTCCACTTCACTGAGCAGCGAGGGCACCTGAGACGCAGGGTTTCCGCAAGGATGGGTCGTGTTAAGCATCATGCAAAGGCAGCTGACAATTGGGCTAAACGTGGAGGCTTCCATCGTCCGGGCTGGGGGCTGGTCCTGGTGGCCGATTCAATGTGTCGTCGTAGCGGCATTGTTATTGTCGATACAGGTTACTGCTTATACTTTTACCAGAACGGCTGCCGCTAATTACACTTTCGGTACTGATGATCCATGCTGCTTGGGCCAGGGGGGGTACTCCCTTCGAAAGTGCAAAAAAGAAAGGCCACAGTATCCAACGACTCGTCTTTGCCCTAGGAAGTCGGGACCGAATCCAATAGTCACCAAACTTTCAATCTTAAAATTCGGAGATGCATCTTTTGCGAGAAGACAGCACAGCTTCGCAATTATGTTGTACAACACTGCGGGGCCCGATTGAACCTGCTGAAAACCACGACACCTGGATCCGAGCAGGCACCACCACCGGGGTCCTGTGACAGCGGGCGATTTCCCGCAGGCTCTCAAAATCATATGTGAGGCGGAGTCATAGTTTGACATGTGCTACGCAAGAAGCTCTCAAAGCGGGTACTGTACCTTTCGGTGAAGAACCAGAAACGCCTCTCCAGTCTAACAGTGGCTGCTGAGTTGGGCTTGACATTTCTACAGGACCTGGCGAGAAGCTCGACCTTCTCAATTCAAGCGAATATCCTGGCGTAAGCCACGAAGTGAGGACAGTTGCGAAGTCGGGTTCCGATAAAGTCGGATGTTCAACTACACGTGGCCATCTGCAAGAAACCGTATCGATACCATTCCCGGCCCAGACGCCGCGACCATCCCGGATGCCTCTCGGGTGGATTGATTTGTCGCCGTCTGAGCTCCTCTTCCTCTGCCTGACCCATAGCGTCCCAGAGGTTTTCGCCCAACATAACCTATACTTCCCGAGCCCGCAACCGTGAAGTCTCCATATCTCTCCTTCCTGGAGCGGAACCGGACCCTCACAAATGCCACATTCTGCTATCACTGCACAAGGACCCAAGCCGAAGACAACCCCCAGCCGACCATAAACCCTCACACACGGAAGTAGGGCCAGCATGGCGGCGCCATGCGTAGCTTTTAACTTAGCTTCCGTCCTTTCGCTGCAAGAAAGGGGCGTTTCTAGAAGTGCGCCGTAAATCTGAAGCCTCCCAGAACCCTTTGCTTGGAAGCCCCGAGCCTTCAGCCGTTTTTGCAGCTCCTCACGGCAGCGCTTCTCGGCCTCGACTCGAGCCGAGACGACCTTCAAGAAGCAGGGATATTGTAATAGCTTAACACAACATCGAATCAAGTAGTGCATGACAACATAGAACATCAGAGCTCACCACATCGTCCTGCATTTTACTACATAATGCTTGGTCTAGGCCTTGTAGCGTACGTAACATGTCGTCTCGACAACAGCTCCTCTATGTTTCAGCAAGGAAGCACAAAACCCGCACGCACATTTAGTTTGTTGAGCTATGTACGTGCCAGCATGCTCTTAGCACACGACAACGGCCCAGTGGACGCACTCCGGACGCGAACATTTTGACCGAAGGAGGCGATCGTGGGCTCACCCGCAGCTTAGTATGCCCAGCGGGGGACCCCCCAAGGAAATAGACCCAAATTCACTTGCGGGTGGTCGGTCAAGGGGAAACTGCACCGTGGCGCGCCTTCCACTCTAAAGGCCTAAACGCGCTCTCCAACTCCAAACGGCCGAGCGGTAGCCCCGCCAATAGATCCACGATTGCACTTCCGTCGGGCCTCCCGGGACCTTCTTTTTCTTCTTATCCGTGCCCTTGTGCGAGGGGCGCAGCCGCGCGGGAGCCGAGTCCGAAAGCCAAGGCCTCCTCCTCTCAGCGGCAGCCGGAGTGGGGTTGGATCCCTGTCAAGCTCTTACTGCTGCCCACCTCGACTCTAGCAGGATGCTGCGAAGGGACTCCACCACCCCCGATGGTCTGCGGTTGTCGGGGCATTGAACCACTCACCACGTTTGACATATCGCCGGCTCCTCAATGCTGGATGTGAACTGAGGCCATCGGCCGCGCGATGCCCCCTCCCCGAGAGAGGAACGAGTGCGGGCATGATTCTGGGCTACCCGAATGATCTACAGCGGCGTTAAGTGTCCACAGAAAATGTCGAGCCACATTGCGCGGGCCGGCATGCCCACAACGCACGACAACGGCCCATGGCCTTTCAGATAAGACAACCCAGGCATCCAGGATTCTGGAGGACAATCTGTGAGAAACCCCACAATGACTTGAATCCGGAGTACGCTCATGTTGCTCGCGGCGCGGCACACATGGACAGAAATATAGATCTGACGAGGAAACAGGTGGTGACATGATAAACGAGGTCTTCATATGCTGACGGCAGAAGTAGCCACCAGGCCTCCTGATCTGGTTGTCCAGACTCCTGACTCGATGCAACACTGATGCATGTAAGGAGGCAGGAAGGATGCAAAGTCACCACGAAACGGGAGGTTTGTGGCTCGAAAATCTCTGGACAGAAGCATAATTATCCCCTGCTGCAGTCATTCGCTGCAGGTGCGAATGCTACCGCATCCCCTCGACTGCACCTCTGCAGCTTCCTCGGCAGAAGAGGACCTGCAAACGGATGGGAAGAAACACAAACTGATCCTGCAGGGCGAGGCCACATGTCTTGCCTACAAGAAAAGAGGCCGCCAAGCTTCTGGCCTGTCAAACTCCGGATTCTCCTGCTTAACAGCCTTGGATCTGCAGCATCATGGGCAAGACGGCAATGAACTGTTCGGAAATCTACAGCACAAGCTCTCTTTGCAAACTGTAACTGCAAAATCGAGAACGCAGCCACCATGAGGGGTTCATTGCCATCCTGGCACGGGCTGAGGGCTGCTGCTCTCACCGTTGCACTTTCTGCTGCAAATGGTTTCACGAGCTGCGATGCGCCACCAGAGCGTTACCAGCTTCAGCATGCATTGTGTCCCCTAAGTGATCCAACGTGCTCCGACTTATGGTAAGGCTGGGTCTTTCGTTGCAGTGCTGGGGAGTGTCTGTAGAAGAAGCCTTGTGTAGCCACTGATTCCAAGCCTGAGTTAGAACCACGGCTGATGCGGCTGATGAACAGTTAATGACGAGCGCAACACAAACCCGCACACTGCTGTTGAGAGGCCATTTCCCTTTAGTCGCAACTCTCGACTGTCTTCCAAGTGCTGCACACAACCTGTCTGCACTAGCTTCGACTCTTCTGTTCCTTCCCTGGGCGGACCTCTTTTCTTGCGAGCACTTGTCGACCAGCCTCCGTGTCGCAACATTCAAGTAGACACGGTCCAACTGCGATGCACTTTTCTACTGCCCTGTATTTCACGGGAGAGCCTACGCTTGCGAATCAAGAGGGAAGGCCCGAGCATCTGGGGGGCCCGCATTCTGCCGCTGCTTCCGTCGCCTCAGGTTACATCACAGGCCGCGATTCGCCGAGGGATGCCCACTACGACGGCTCAGCACCCAACCGCTTTGCGGGCGGTCCAGGCATGGCAGGACGCCTGCAAGAACTGAAGCACGAGTCGCGATCTACAAGACCTTGACGCTCTCAGAACCTCTATGTCAGCCTAGAGTTCTCTCTCCCCGAGGCAGTGACTCTCCAGACCCTCAAATCCGAACGGCCGTGAGGACTCCACTGCTGCTAACGGGGATATGCACAGTCCAGTGAAGAAGATTCAGGTCTAGCCCGGCAAGCTTGCTGTCGTGAGAGGCTTGTTAGCAGCTAGTTCAACAATACACCGTCACACAAGGCTCCATCAGACTCTATCAGCCTGTATCAGCTCCGATCGAACGTCTACAGCCAAGGCTTGCTTTGTCTGCGTCTGACCAACGTCGGCCGACGAAGATCAGAGCTGAGACCCGCCATGTACACACGACTTTCTGAAAGTGCGAAGCAGTGCGAAGCCCAACATCACACGATCATAGACAACACAGACAGAAAGGGAGCAACTCACGGACTTCTTCATTTTTTTGTGTCTAGGTCGTTACTTGTTTACTCATGTATGTCTTTACTTAATGACTTGTTTGTTTTTCTTATGTTTGCTTGTTTGTTTATTTGTGAATCTATATACTTACTTGAATATTGATTCATTCATTCGTTCATTCGTTCGGTCCGTCGGTCGGTCAGTCAGTCAGGCAGGCAGTGAGTCAGTGAGTCAGTGACTCAGCGATTTAGTGACTCAATAACTCAGTCACCCATTCACTCAGTCACTCCAGTCTCCCAGTCACTCAGTCACTCACTCAGTCACTCACTCAGTCACTCAGGTCACATATTTGTGTGTTCGTGTGTTCGTTCAAAACTTCATTCGTTCACTCATTCACCCTATCATACACCCATTCCTTCCGTCGTTCCTTCAGCAATTCCATTCATTCCACGCATTCCAGTCATTCCATCCATTCCATTCATTCCAGTCATTCATTAATTCATTGATCCATTCCGTTCCATTCCATCCATTCATGCATTCATGCCTGCATGCATGCTTTCATTCTTTCTGCATTTCATTCTTTCGTGTCAGCTCATTTCATTCCATTCCAGAGATTCATCCATTCATTCATCCATTCGTTCATTCATTCAACCATGCATTCATTCATTCATTCATTCATTCATTCATGAATCCATCCATCCATCCATCCATCCATTCATTCATTCATTCATTCATTCATTCATATTCATTCATATTCATTCATATTCATTCATATTCATTCATTCATTCATTCATTCATTTATTCATTCATTCATTCATACATTCATTCATTCATTCGTTCATTCATACATACATTCATTCATTCACTCACTCACTCACTCAGTCAGTCAGTCAGTCAGTCATTCCTTTCACTCCATTCGTTCAGTCATTGATTCCAATCCATTCATTCACTTGTTTCATCTGATTCTATTAATGCATTCCTTCATTCATTCCTTCAACCATTCATGCATGCATTCATTCACTAAGTCAATCTTCTTGCTTTCTTCATCTCATTTCATTCCATGAATCATCTCATGTCATTCCTGCCTTTTCATTGCGTTCACTGTTTCTTTCTTTCACTCATTCCATGTATTCAGCTATCTGTATATTTGTTCATCTATTTATTTGCTTGGTTATGTCCATGCCCGGAAAAAGCAGCGGACGCTTGCAAAAAGCAGGGACTGTTCCGAACCCAGAAAGCCGTCGCCCGAAGGCCTCGCACTGGGCCCATTATGCTCGCCAGACTCCATCGCAGGCGCTCGTCCATGGGCAGTGCCAAGCTTACACCGAGTCGACTGGAGCTCGAATATCTCGCTCTGCACGTGACTAGGCGAGCGCCACAGGCTTTTGCAAGTACGTGACTCGGTGCATTCCCTCTGCGTTGCTCGTTCACTGAAGCCGTGCTAGTGAAGTTTCAGAATGGATGACAGTCCTTGCAATGCTGTTTGCGCCCTGACTTGCAGACCTGTGTCTCTGACGCACCCAGCGTCTGCAAAGTGTCTTCGCTTGGCAGGACCCTTCCCTACAAATCCGTCGCAACTGTTGCCTTTCGGCTTTCGGTCGGTAGCAGAAACTCGTGATTGTTTAGCACACAAGATTCTTGTTGCGAACCAGGGCACTTCACTCTAGGAAGGGTGCCGCAAAACACGACTGCCGGGCTTCTGTACAGCTGTTGAGTGCTTGGCTTCCCATGCTTCACGCTAAGCTGAGTTGCGGTATGATCGCAAAAACGTGTCAAGTCATCCCGGTTTACGCGGTTTATGCCGATCGAAGATGTCTAAGCCAAAAGACATGTCGTGAGATCGGACTGAATGCTCCATCCCTGCCCGATCAAGAAGTGATTCCACAACAAAGCGCCGCCACAGGCGATGCACCGGATGAAGTCGCGAAATTCGCGAGTCTGGCAAAATTGGCTTGGAGAGCTGCGACAAGCTCCCGAAAGCAATCACGTGAGGTCGCTGAGCTCCTGCCTGGTTGTATCAGATTTCTGTGTACACGTTGACGGATTAATTACTTTTGCAACCTTCGGAAAAAACCACAACCATGATTAATCATTCACAGATCACGGCTAAAGGCGCAGAAGCCACGCTTGGGCCAGTGAAATTGCTCCCACCCATCTAAGACGTAATGTCACAGCCAGCCCGCAACGTGTTGAAACTTGTAGCTACTGTGTAGCTGTATCTCTGCTTGTGGCTCCTAACCTGCCTCCGGCGTCGGGCCGGCTAAGGTGCCTTATCACACCCAGGCCAGTGCTCGTTCTTGTTCTAGGTGTCTTTCACATTGTCCCAGCCGCCCGAAACGAAACCCAAACCACACGAACGATCACAAACGCTGAGCAAGTCCACTGATTACTCAGGGAATGCGTTTTCAACGGAAGCACTCAGGACAAAAATTGAGCACAGCACGGCAATACCGGTAATTCTTCATGCGCATGGTTTGAATCAGCCGCTGGTCCGATTCCCTTTTCTCTTTCTTTGAAGTCGTGCAGTTACAGTCACAAGGGCGATTCGGATGCATATTGTGTTATGCAGTCCTGCACCATGCCTGCCCGTCTGCACACTTGCGATTCATTTACACTCTGCTCTATTGAGTGGGACAGATAGATGTCCCGCATCAATTTTGCGCATGCTCTGAATATACATGCTAATGCGACGCCCCGTTTTTGGCCAGAGCGATGCTTCAAAGCTCGACATGCCGTGCAAGCGACACCAAAGTCGCGATGCCGACACATGAAGAGTAGCCCCAAGCTTGGGCGGGAAAACGGGAGGGTGAAGCTTGAGAGGTTAAACGTACACGTACAGTCGGCCTGGACTCAGCTATGCACACCGCAAACACGTTCGGAGAACTACAATGCTAATGCGACGCCCCGTTTTTGGCCAGAGCGATGCTTCAAAGCTCGACATGCCGTGCAAGCGACACCAAAGTCGCGATGCCGACACATGAAGAGTAGCCCGTATTTGCGACCAGATTTACAAGAGTCCAGGCCCATATTTGCTCGCCCACTGGCTTCGCCGTGGCTCGCCACTAAAGAATGAAAAGTTCGAAGCGATCCTTGCGACTTGGTTGTCAAAGATGCAGTTGGCATAGTGCTTACACAGCCCCGCGCACAACCACGGCACCTTGTGTGAAGGGGCCACGTGCTTGTTACCTGAGAATGTACACCAGCGCTTCGATCCGCAGATGCGCTCGCCGAGCTTGGTGAGGTCAAGAGCAACAGAAACAAACCGTACGGTCTTGCGGCAAAGGGCTCCATAACCACACTGATCAACCTGGGTAGCGGCGACTCCGGGCTGACGCATCACAGCGAGAACGGGCGGACACCTCCACAGCTTTGATGACGCAGGAGCTGCAGCAGAAGCTGGCACCTGAAGGACTCTGCATAGACGAAGCAGTTTGCAAAGAAACCTCATGTAGGCATTGCCGGCATTGAGGTTGAGAAGATCACTTGAAGGAAGTCCGGGAACTCCAAGCGGGTGCATGGCACTACGGAGCGGCTGAGGTCCCGGCGGCTGATCACGGGCACATGAAAAGGACCTGTTAGGCACAGTAAAATGAACATGTTGCACTCGGCCAGAACGAATCCAATCAAGGATGAGCCACCGTCTGCCGGGGTGAAGGAGGTCGTATCCACGGCCGCCCTGCAAGTCCCAAAACAGCACACAGTGACCACATCGTCGTGCAACGGCTTGGGCAATGCCACAATTTTTCTCAGCAAGCACCAGTGTCACGCGAACTTTCGGCGATGGAGGCGCTTTGAGGGCAAAGTGCACACCAACTTCTCGATGCCCTCCGCGGCCTTGAGAGCTTTTGATCTGACAGCTTTGGGCAGTGACTGAAGCTGTTGAGTGAGCCGGCCCCCCTTTTCGTACCTCCGGACGGACGCGAAACTGCGCCAACGACCTCTCTTCTGGACCTCGGCCAGGGACCGCAAATGTAGAGCGACGTCCCGGCTCGGGCCGCCATGTCGGAGGCGGTATGGGTGAGGGTCCCCTATCGCTTGCGATATCCCCAGCTTTGTGCCCTGCTCCTTCATGAAATCGAGGATTGCGCTGGCGCTCACACTGAACAAGGGCTCGTCCTTCATCCTCTTGCCCAAATCCAGAATGTTGTAAAGCGCCCGTGCCACAAAACAAGTGTACGGCAGGTCGAACAGAACCGTCTCGTCGAACTCCCCCGTCTTGCTGCTGGACTGGCACTCCGCTGGGTGAAGAACCAGTGCCCAACTCGTTATGGCGCCCACCGGTGGTACCAAGTCTTGCACTCGTAGTTTCGTCGCCTCGCCCGGTCTGAGGTAGCATACAAAACAAAGGAGCATGAATAAGGCCACTTCCATGAGACCGAGCTCCCACGCGATCGAGGCCAGAAGACACACCACTTCCCATGGCAGCGGAAGTCTTGACTTTGGGGGGTCCAAACGCTTCCAGCCCTGGAGGCACTGCTTGGAAAGAGGGAGAAGGGTTTGCTTGGGACTCTTCAGATAAGGCAGCTTGAAGAGGACCGCCGCAATCATGTATTGCCCCATTGACAAGTCCTCGCCCTCGTCGAAGAGATCGTCCAGGATCTGACTCAAAGCTCGGTCGACATCGACTGCCGTTGGAGCGTCCAGCATCCGAATCCCCGCCCGTAGACAGAAATCCTGCCACAGATTGGCATACCTTTCCCGGCATGCTGGAGTCACCGAAACTTCTGCCAGCGAGACTCCCGGGGCTTTCAAATTCTGGCGCATGGATGCTCTTTGCTTCTTCGTCTCCAGTGCCCTTGCGGAGCCCAGCGGAGCAGAGGGGATCTGAGATGTGGCTTTCGCTTTCGCCACCCTTTTGCCCACTGCCGGGTTGCGCACTTTCACATCTTGAGGAAGTTGAAGAAAGCGGTGCACCACCATCCGAGACACATGAAGCGAAAAGGGAACCCCGCGATGGACCGTCTGCTGGATTCCACTCGCTGGGGATATACCGATAGGCAACGCTGATCCCCGCAGCGAGGCAGAGAGCAGCAGCCTGCTGCGTCACACGGCGCATGCCGAATGCACGCCCTCTACCGCGGTCAAGAGCGCAAATGGCAGAGGTAGAATCGGATAATATCAAATGTCGCTTGTGAAAATTGCACTCACTTCTCAGCAGGTGTTTGATTGCATGGAGCGACGCTCTCGCCTCGAGGACTGGCATACCCTCCTGCCGCTTCCATTTGTAGCGACCGACGACCTTCCAGGTTTTCTTCACCGCTTCGAACGACACCGGCATGAATCTGTCAGAAGCAGCCTTGCCCTCGACAACAACAAGAGGACGCCGTGCCTGGTGGCGGCCCTCGCCATTGACATACTGCAAAGCTCCGACCTCTTCGGAATCATCAGCGACAGATGTTGCAAAGGCTGAGGCTCTCGGTAACTTGAACTCGTCAAGCTCAAACCTCCACCGCTCGGAGTAACGACCGAGCCTGCGGACCTCCTCAACCTCAAACTGCGCAGCAACGGCCCCGAGGCCCCAATTTGACGCATCGACAGCAAACACCTCGGAGGACCAGGGCAGTGCCAGGTCCCGCCATATGAGCGGGGCCAATCCACACCACACTTCAAGCTCCCGGCGAACAGATCCCCAGAGACGATGAGAACGGTGGTAATACCTCCTCACAAAAGTGTAGCATTCCCCAAACACCGCCAAGATCTCTCTCCGACCCAAAGCAATGAAAGTGGCATGACCGAGGACCTTCTCGAGTTGGAGTCCACTGCAGCATCCAACCTCAAGCAACCGGCGCATGGCAAGGATAACACGCCACACGCGATGTTGTAAAGGCCTCATGGTCGTCCCTTCAAACTGCCACCCTAAAACCTTTATACTGCCAGATGCGGTCTCCTCTTCGTGCACCACTAAGCCTTTGGCCCGCAATGCATCCGCACCGGCAGCCGACAGCTCCAGAACCTCCGATTGGTTGGTTCCCAGCACTACGAAATTATCGACGTATTCCAGATGCATACACCCCGGAGGCGGTGCCGCGGCCTTGTCCTGCAAGCAGTTTGACGCAACCGCGCCGACGGTGCCCACGATGTGCTGGTGCACTGTCTGGCACCACCATAAGGCATGACTCCACCCCATAGGTAAAACATTCAAACGTGGAAACAGAAAATCAGAAGCCTTCACGCGACGACCACCTAGACACTCGACTCCAAGAAGGCCCGCCCGGACACGACGCATACCAAAATATGGACGTAAGGCCTCTGGCAACTGGAAATGGTAGAAAGCATCTTTAAGGTCCG